TTCAAAGGGCGGCTCGAGAAGACAAAGTAAAGTATTATAACGACATGTGCAAAGAGCTGGAGATAGAAAACCAAGAGGGAAGAACACACTCGGCATTCCTCAAGCTGAAAGAACTGAAGAAAAAATTCAAGCCTCGAGCTGCAGTAGTGAAGGATTCTATGGGGAAAATATTAAATGATGCAGGAAGCATCAAAAGAAGATGGACGGAATACACAGAGTCATTATACAAAAAAGAATTGGTTGACATTTGACCATTTCAAGAGGTAGCCTATGATCAGGAACCGATGGTACTGAAGGAAGATGTCCAAGCTGCAATGAAGGCATTGGCGAAAAACAAGTTTCCAGGAATTGATGGAATACCAATCAAGATGTTTCAACAAACAGATGTAGTGCTGGAAGTGTTCACTCATCTATGCCAAGAAATTTGGAAGACAGCTACCTGGCCAAATGAGTGGAAGAGATCCGTATTTATGCCTATTCCCGAGAAAGGTGATTGAACCAAATGTGGAAATTATCGAACAATATCATTAATATCACACGCTAGTAAAATTTCACTGAAGATCATTCAAAAGCAGCTGCAGCAAGTATATCGACAGGGAATTGCCAGAAATTCAGGCCAGATTCAGAAGAGGACGTGGAACCAGAGTTATGACTTCTGATGTAAGATGGATCCTGGCTGAAAGCAGAGAATACCAGAAAGATGTTTACCTGTGTTTTATTGACTACTCCAAGGCATTCGATTGTGTTGATCACAACAAATTATGGATAACATTGTAAACAATGGGAATTCCAGAACAACTGTGCTCATGAGAAACCTGTACATAGATCAAGGTGCAGCTGTTCAGACAGAACAAGGGAATACTGTATGGTTTAAAGTCAGGAAAGGTGTGCGTCAGGGTTGCGTCCTTTCACCACACCTATTCAATCTGTATGCTGAGCAAATAATCTGAGAAGCTGGACTATATGGAGAAGAAAGGGGAATAAGGATTGGAGAAGACTCATTAACCTGCAATATGCAGATGACACAACCCTGCTTGCTGGAAGTGAAGAGGACTTGAAGCACTTACTGGTGAACATCAAAGACCACAACCTTCAGTAAGGATTACACCTCGACATAAAGAAAACAAAAATCCTCACAACTGGACCCATAAGCAACATCATGATAAACGGAGAAAAGACTGAAGTTGCCAAGCATTTCATTTTACTTGGATCCACAATCAACACCGATGGAAGCAGCAGTCAGGAAATCAAAAGATGCATTGCACTGGGCAAATCTGCTGCAAAAGACCTCTTTAAAGTGTTGAAAAGCAAAGATGTCACCCTGAAGACTAAGGTGCACCTGAGCCAAGCCACGGTATTTTCAACTGCATCATATGCATGCAAAAGCTGGACAATGAATAAGGAAGACTGAAGAAGAACTGATGTCTGTGAATTGTGGCGTTGGCAAAGAATATTGAATATACCATGGACTGCCAAAAGAACGAACAAATCTATCTTGGAAGAAGTACAACCAGAATGCTCCTTAGAAGAAAGGATGGCGAGACTACGTCTTACATACTTTGGACATGCTGTCAGGAGGGATCAGACCCTGGAAAAGGACATCATGCTTGGTAAAGTAAGGGTCAGCGAAAAAGAGGAAGATCCTCAACAAGATGGACTGACACAGTGGCTGCAACAATGGGCTCAAGCATAACAACAATTGTGAGCATGGTGCAGGACCAGGCAGTGTTTCATTCTGTGGTGCACACGGTCACGATGAGTCAGAACCGACTTGACAGCACCTAACAACAACAAGGCAAGAGGGGGAGAAGCAGGAGGGCGAGGTTTGTGACAGGGAGCCTGTCACAAACAGGCAGTGGGCAGAGAAGCTGGCGGGCCCGTGGCAGGCGAAGGGCAGGTGGGCAGAGCAGGAGGTGGGATGGCCGGGCCATGAGGAGGTGGCGGGAGCCGGGGCCACAGGAGTCAGGTAGGGGGCTCGAAGTCTCTACTTCCAAAAAGGCCTCTCTGCCACATCCGCAGCCTTGCCCAGCCCAGGTGGCCAGGACTCACCTGCCCACAGGCCCAGGAGCCACCCTCCACTGAGGCCTGTTCTCTAGAGCCAGCAGAGCAGGAAGGTGGAGAGGCGAGGCACATGGGCCCATGTGGAGGCCTGGAACCAGGTGATGGTGACCACCATCACCATCACCACCACTCCCAACCCCCACGGGCTTGTATCCGGAGACGTGCCTGGGGGACCCAATGGGCAGCGAGTGATGGAGGGGGAGGAAGGGAGGAACACTGGTGCCAAAGATGGGGCACAGCCCTGACTCTCTCACATAACGCTGATTTTCACATTACAGCCTGGTCTTTGGAATCTAACAGTGCCAACAAGTGAGGAGTAGGCGCATTTCTAAAACTATCATTTCTAGAGAAAAACTTGGCTATCCAAAAATAAGACAGACTTAAAGGAAAGTCATATATTTGCGAAAATAGCAAATTCTCTAAATTACTAAAGGTACTATAAGTTTTACTTTTACCCCTTGCCTTTATTCCTGTCGCTAC